TTTAGTTGTCTACAGGCGATCTCTATGGTAGTAACATGCTCTATGGGAAAGGTAAAAGCACAATCATTTTTTAACAAAGACTAAAGATAGAAGATTTATGATAAAAAATTAAATGTGAAGTCTAACCTGCTTTCTACCTGGTTTCTCTTTCACCCTTCAGCAACATGTTATTTGTTGTGATAAATGTTGTAAAATTGTGTTAAATGTTGTAAGCTAAGCCATGTGAACCAAAGCAGCAAAAGAAAAACAAATGGAGTATGTAGAAATAGAGGAAAAACATCTGATGCAAGCTTAAAAATGAGTCCGGTGTAAAGGTCATATGAAATATGGAGTACATTTTAGGGTACTGCAGTTTAAAGGGTTATTAAACCCTAATTCGTTTTTTCATATATCTACTGCTAGCAAGCAGAGAGAGAGAGCCGCCGGCTGTCAGATCCAGGCCGAGCGGCTCTCTCTCTCTCTCTCTCTCTCTCTCCTCCCATGAATATGATGCCTACTGGGAGACTCCTGCAGCCTAAGGACTTGGTGCTGGTGGTGCTATTCCCTCTTTCTGCTTCCTTCTTTGTCTTTTTTTAATTTTTCTTCTCCGTTTTTTGGATAATTTCTAGCCCCGTTCCATGTCTACCCACCTCTTCAGTGTTCCCTTCTCCTGCCCTATCCTTGCAATATTTCTGGCCCTGGGAAGACTCTTTTTGAAGGTGGTCACTCTGGATACTCTGACTACAGCACAAGACACACTGCCTAGCCTCTCCTGCAGTACACATCTTTGAGGATATATGATTTCCTGCACAACATTAGGGACATCCATTACAGACATTACTTATTTAGACTGCAGCATGATTTTGTGTTCACATGTTTTCTGTTTTGGATACTTTCACATGTCTTACAGACTAATTATGCAAGTATGTGATGTCATGGGTGGGCGTGTGAGGGGGTGGACTCAAGGGTGGCGTCACATCTATATGTCTATTTAAACTCACTTTGATGTTTGCACTTTGTCGATGTTCAGCCTGATGAAGGGACCCTCCTGCACAGTCCCGAAAGCGCTTGTTTTCATTTGACAGTTGTTCAATAAATGAACTTTTGGTGTGTTGGTGACATTCTTCTCAACACTCTGGATAGTTGTGCCACACTGAGATGACCTCTTTATTCCGTCCTAATATTCTTTTCTACCTGTTTGTATTCAACTGCTGATGTTTTTGCCAAGATATGCATTGAAAGCATGGTCAAAGACCCTTTTTATTGGTTTGTAATGTTTTACCAGTTTTGCTTTGATAACCTTTGTTAATCTCTCTACAATACAATGTCATTAACTTTTACAAAAAAGGATTAGATTATTTTTGTACCAACTACTGGTATCTCCAGTAATTACCAACTTCAACCTAGTTGCTTATGTTCATACACGTGTTCATATACAGTAATACCTCGGTTCATGAACGCTTCTGTTTGCGAACAATTTGGTTCCTGAACAGAAAGTTTGGCAAAATTTTGCTTCCGTTCGTGAACTCCACATCGGGTGACAAACACGACCGCGGCCATCTTGCCTGCTCTGACACTTAGTTGTGGCTTCCTCTGGTCGAGATTGTGGTCGCAGATAGACCTTTGCACACTTGCACTGAAGGTAACCAGAAAGTGCGTCAGAACAGATTAATCTTATTTACATTGAACCTTGATTTGGTTTGTAACCAGAATCGTGGAACGAATTAGGTTCGTGAACCGAGGTATCACTGCAGTGGCGGAACTACCGCCGGTGCAGGCGAACCGGGCGCACCAAGCCCCTCGGCCTGTGGGGGGCCCAGCACAGTCCCAGCGCTGGATCGGTACCCAGCGGGCCCCCCATCTCTGCGCCGAGAGTGTCGCATCATCCGTTCAATGCCCCCAGTCTCTGCGCCAGGAGTGTCATGCGCCAGGTGTGTCATCCTGCAGGCACATCATGGGGCCTCAGACGGCAGTGACGACCCAGCAAATAGAAAACACAGTATGCAGCATTACACCTTGTCAGAAGAAGTGACCTAAGTATTCCAAAAGCTGAAGTCAGCTATTGGCATTCATTCAAACGGTTTTTCTATTACTGAAACAACAGAAAATAACTTATTTTGGAACAGGAGGAATCTCTAAGCATCAGTCCACTCAAAAACTAATATTTCAGTGTTTCAGTGGCGGAACTACCGCCGGTGCAGGCGGTGCGGACGCACCAGGGCCTCCGGCCTCTAGGGGGCCCAGCGCCGGATCGGTAGCCAGCAGGCCCTCCATCTCTGCGCCGAGAGTGTCGGATCATCCGTTCATCCGACACTCCCGGATGAAAGATACAGTATAAACCTATATTATACCATGATGAGATTTTGTCAAAAATGTTTGAAGATGGCTGGAAAGCAGTTGCAAGAAGAGCACCCTCTTTGTGCAAATATCGGTCACCTAGTTTTTTTTTTTTGTGAAAGCTGTAAGAACAGATGAAACGTAGTTGCATTTGAAAGAGAATTTTAAATGTGGTTCTGACAGAACATGCTGCCAACATATTGTAAAAAAGCCTGGGGGTGATCGCCACTGTAAATGGTAGAATATTTACTGTGAAGACTTGTGATTTGTAATACCAGATATTTTTCAAATGTAGTTTCATGTCATGAGCGCAACATACTCTATAATGGAGGGTGAGGGATAGATTAAAACATCACGAGCGAGATGTTGACAAAAATAATCTAACTAATGTGGCTAAACATTTTAATGAGAAACATAATGGACAACCCACTTTTTTTGAAAATTCAGGTTACAGAAAAGGCTAGAGCACATAATAGATGAGGAGATGTGCTTCTCCAATTTTGTAAGAGAGGGTTTTTGGATATTTATGATGGGCACTAGACTGCCCTAAGGATGAAATCATGATTGAGATGTTTCTTATTTTTACCAATGATTATGGATTTATGAGTAATATAATATTTAAGAAAATGGTAAATGAGAGGTATACCGTATATACTCGAGTATAAGCCGAGATTTTCAGCCCATAAAGGGGTAGAGCAGTTGGGTCAAGGGCCCCTCGGAACACCAGAACCCCAGTCTCTCGTGGAGGCATACGAACCCGGACCAACTCTATAACAAAAACAGTGTATTGGATCCGGCCCTCCGCAGCCCTGTTATGGGGTGAGCAAGCCAGCGGGGCCCTCCAGGAGCCGGGCAAGTCCGTCAGGTTCGTTGCTGGTGGCATACTAGTAAGGGCCCTCCTGGGCCTATGGATGCGGCTTGGCAGTCAGGAGGAGATGAAAATGGAAACGGTCCATTAGGAAATGTAGGCCTCAGCCCAGCGTCTCCTGACGGCCTGGACAACAGGGCCCGGAACTCCTGCGGGATGTCAGACAGCTGCTTGTGGGACGGGTACGAGTCCGCGTCAGTGGAGTCGGAGTCGTATGAGTGCGCCCCAGAGCGGGGTTCCCGGGGAGCAGGAGATCGGGAACGGGCATTGCCTCGTGGCGTGCGTAGGAGACGGGGCTCGGAGGCCATGATGTATTGGTCTCGGCAACGAGGACTGTTATGTGTGGAGGTGAAAAATTCTTGCATCGAGGGGGTATTCCGTTGGGAAGCAGGCTTGTCCTCTTTGCTGCGTTTGGACATTGTTTGGGGTCCAAACCGGTGGGGTATAAGTCGGTATAAGTAGCGTATAAGTAGTAAAACCCACGGAGCTCACTGAGGTTGCTGCTTACTCCGCCATGAGCAGGACACGCCCCCGTTATTTTTCTTTTAAATAAATATTAATGTAATTTTATTGGTATCTATCTACCAGTAGCTTCCTCATTTCCCGAATATAAGCCCTCGGCTTATATTCGGGTCAATACTTTTCCCCAGTTTTTTTGGGTAAAAGTAGGTACCTCGGCTTATATTCGGGACGGCTTATACTCGAGTATATACGGTATTCCATGTCTTAGGTCAGCAATAGTCTTTTATGGTTTTTTTTTTTCTTGTTCTGTTACATGTATAGTTGTCTGGATATTAAACCCAGTATTGATCTTAAGTTCATGGTATATAATAAGTTGAGACTCATTCACACTAGAGCCGCAAAGTGGATACGTGGAAGGGGCTAGTGTGTTTACACTAAATTTATATGCGTTGTGCTGTGTGGCTTTTACATGTCTATATTCATTTGCATATGCTGCATTGTGTTATTTTACATGGCGATTATTATTTATGTAATTTTTCAGTGCAGTTGTGGCATTTTGTGGGTTAACATGCATAGATGGGGAGGTGTTTTGGTAAGGGGTGTTTTCCTATAAATGGCTATGCTGCGTTTACATTAAAAGCCATATTTTTAAGTGCAGGTATGCATGAAACACATTGAGGGCTTGGTCACAGACCAGATCTGCATGAGTTTCTGCATGAGTTTGTTCACACCAAGTGCGTTTCAGGAGCAGAGCAGTTACAGACCAGATCAAAACTGCGTCCAATGTATTCCAATGGTATTTTGGGCTCTAGTTCACACCGCACCGTTCAGTTCCAGAGCATGTAAAAAACTGCAGCAAGCCCTATTTTACCTGCTGTGGAACGCATGCAAATGCATCAAACATGCATGCAAATGCACTGGAACGCACTGAAAGCCCATTTAAAAAAAAAAGTTATTTTTCTTTTTTTGCAAAAACGCGGCAAAAAACGCGCCAACACACACTGCGCTGCGTGTGCAGAAACTCATGCAGATCTGGTCTGCATTTGGTGTGAACAAGCCCTAGGTTTTGTCTGAGACATATGCTGCATGCCATGAATTAAAGATTACACACAGATCTCCAATAGATACGGGAGTGACACCTTTCCTTGTAGTTACATGTTAATTCTTTAGTTCGCATTTTCTGTGTTTATAGCTTTGGGACAGTTGGTGCATTTACCTTCTATTTCCCAGTGCACAAAAAGTAATAAAGCATTATTAATAACTGATAGTTATTCGTTTTGTAACTGTACTGCCCAGCACTGTAATAAAGTAAGAAAATATTGTCATGTGTGGGTGCTTTGTGTTTGCTAAAATCTTTATCTTCTGGCTTTTTTCTTTTTTTCCTTTCCATTTCTCAATTTTCTCCTTATGCATGTCTTCACCTTTTTTATGTTGCGTTCATTCCTGAAACAGTCAATTGACATCAGTCATTTTTATTTTTCTTACTCTGTGTTGTTAAAGTCATCTCAAAGTGAGCATTTGATGACAAAAGAATTCACGTACCTTAACTATTAACAAAAATGTATCTTATTTGTGTTGTAGATCCTCAAATCGTCTCTGTATTGGTGCTCACATTGCCCCTCCTGGAGGGTGGCTACTTTTGTTCTTCATGGTCCCTGTGTGTTGTATAGTAGCTACCACTCCAAGCTCACTCCTGTGATGGCCTACAATCTCAATACAACTTGGTAAACTAAACGAGAGCTTCTAGTTAATCACAGGAGTGAACTTGGCGCAGTTTAACACACACAGGGACCATGGGGAACAAAAGTAGTCGCCCTGCAGAAGGAAGGACAGTGTCCGCATGAATTCAGAGATCATTAAGCTACATTTTTGTTAATGTACTTGAATGCATTTTTAAGATTTAATTCCTGAGTTTAGTGTCACTTTACGCTTGTCCCAGCTCCATCAGGACTCCCTATTGGACCTTTAAATTGACATTCCGTCTCACTGACAAATAGGAAAGCTCATGAAGTGGTAGCAGTGGGGCCAAGCTTATCTACAGAAAAAGAGATTTTATTTAATTTTATCAGTCTAATGTGCATTTTGACATGCAGTTTTTACTGAATGTAATCTCTGCTTATGTGTTCATAACTTGCTCATTTTGAATTGCCCAGGTTTGTGACAGCTTTACCTTGCATAAAAAAGAAACATTTCCAAACAGATTCTGAGTAAAATTAGCAAAATAATAATTTTTTTTTTTATTATTACATATCGTTGCATAGTGATATAGTCATTAAATACCTTGGTCTATCCAGTCCAACCTATGTGTTCTGGTTTGCGTGTGTGACTTTTTTTATTTTTGTAAAGAGTATTTTGGTATTGCATGGCAAACCCACGGTGGAATTTGATGTTGTGCTCACCCAAGACTCTCAGCTAGAGGGACTGAGAGGTTTCAAGAAGCAAGCGTTTTTTCCAGTGAAAGAGCTGGCTTTTCAGTTCTCTAGGGATTTTATGGATTCTGCTTGGGATCCTGGAATCAGGAGGTTTCAAAGTGATTTGGGAGGAAAGTAAACTCCAGTCCTGGGTTTAGCAGTGACCAACACCCAATGATTACACAGCTGTGCACAGCCCTTAAGGAAAGGGTGCTGACTATGGTTAGGGGCTCCTGCTGGGGAAAAAGGGACAGACAGTGCTCCTCTGCAATTTCAGATTAAACCTCTTTCCCTTCAACCTTAAATTGTGGCCATTTGTCCTTGTCGAGAACCTAATTTTAAACAAGTTGTTCCCTGCTTTACAGTTATTGTTGATTAAAGGAGAATAATGAGGTGAGTGATTTTCACTCATTCTCATAGTTAGAGCAGACCTGTGACAAATAAGCTGTCACAAGTTGGCTCTATTGATCGGGAAGTAGAAACATGCAGCCTATCCGCTCACTTCCCGATCGTCTCCCTGCAGTGAGCGGTGACTGCCAGTCAGCGCTCTCCGTAGGGATTCTACCCTCCCCGTTGTATCCAGCTTTTGATATGTTCTGCTAATTAGCATAGCAGGAAAGCTGGGGTCTCAAGTGGGCTTTGCAGGGTCTCATGTGGGCTTTGCAGGGTCTCAGGGGGGCTGTGCAGGATCTGTGGTGGGCTTTGCAGGCTGCATAGCCCACCACAGATCCTGTATAAGCCCACCTGAGACCCTGCAAAGCCCACCTGAGACCCTGCAGAGTCCACCACAGATGCTGCACAGCTCCCCTGAGACCATGCAGTCTGCCTGGTTGGGTATTGTCGGGATCTGTCCCAGCTGCAGCGCTCTCAGTATATCGTGGGCAATAGCTCGCTATATAGTGAGCTTTGGATCACGGGAGGAGGTTAGTATATGTCCTCCAGTGACCCTTAAGAGAACTATGGGGAAAAACACTTACCCCATAGTTCTCTTTTAACTTGTAGATGGCAATCATGTTCACTCTTAAACACATTCTCTAAAAAAGATCAGTTTAGGTTACTTAATCATTCCTCGTAGCTGAGGTCCTTCAGCCCCCTAGTTACTTTCATTGCCCTTCGTTGGACTTTTTCTTATTATAGGACATTCCTTCTGTTGATAGGTGACCAAACCTGGGCTGCATGATCAAGATGAGGCCAAACAAGTGTTTTGTAAAGTGGTACTTGTATTGATTTATCTCTTGAATAAATAACTTTTTTAAATGCTTGATAGTATTCTGCTTGCTTTGCTAGCAGCCACCTGGCATTGCTTGCTATTACTAAGTCTGTATTCCACTAATCTCGTATAACCCTCTTATTGCAGATGCTGCTACTACATCCTGTGCTAAACATATTTCTCTGCATAACTATGTCAATCGGCAAATACAGGAATTGAACTCTTCATTCCAATTTCAATGTCGTTTATAAACATATTACCTCTCATTGGCCCCTAGACAGAACCATGGGTCACACTCCTTGCAACCCTAGACCACTCAGGGGCTGGAACATTTACCACCACCCTCTCTACCCATTTCTGAAGCCAGCTTTCTATCCATGTTCATACAATTGACCCCTCTGCAATAAAGCATAGCTTGTAAATTATTTGTGGGGCATGGTGTCAAATGCTTTTGCAAAAAAAATAGAAAATTGAGTATCCCTGTTAACCAGACCAGTAACACCATACATTGGATTTAAAATTTCTGGTTCAAAGTGTGTTCTTTTAAATCCTCTGGCATCACTCCTTTTTTTTTCCTGTAATTTTGCTAGCTAACTTACTTTCTTGTGTTTTTTAAGATGAAATGTAGTACAAGTGATGGTAGTTGGACAAGCTTAAAAAGATTACGGAAAACTGTTGACTGATAAACACATATGCAGACATCCTGACATCAGTGATGTTATTATGAAACAGGAACAGGGTGGTTACACAACTTCTACCTCCCATCCTGTTCTTGGACTACTAACATTTGCATTTACACATTCAATGGTAATTCAATGGTAATGTGATTAAGGTGTCTGTGCTACCTAGTGGTATCCCCCAAGGTTCAGTGTTGGCCCCCTTACTGTTTAATCTATTGATAAATTATATAGAGTTGGGAATTAAAAGTTTCTGTGTTTGCAGATGACACCAAGTTATGTAGTGGAATACAGTCCTTACAGGATGTGTACAACATACAAGCAGATGTGAATGCACTGTGTGATTGGGCATCTATTTGGCAAATGAGGTTTAATGTTGATAAATCTAAAGTTCTAGACTTGGGGACTAAAAACAAGCATGCGTCATACACCCTAGGGGGAGTCAATGATGGAGAAAGATCTGGGTGTACTGGTAGACCATAGACTCCATAATGGTGTGCAATTGCAAGCCACAGTTTCTAAAGCAAGCAGAATACTTTCTTGTATTAAAAGGGGTATAAACTTCAGAGAGAGACATAATCCTGCCCCTGTACAAAGCATTAGTAAGACCTCATCTGGAATATGCAGTTCAGTTTTGGGCACCAGTTCACAAAAAGGATGTTGTGGAACTGAAAGAGCATAGAAGGGCAACTAAACTCATAAGAGGCATGGAGGAGCTTAGCTATGAGGAAAGATTAACTGACCTGAATGTGTTCTCTCTGGAGAAGAGGCGATTAAGGGGGGAAATGATCACCAAGTATACATAAATGGTCCATATAGTGATCTTGGTGCCAAATTATTCACTTTAAGGTCACTGCAAAGGACAAGGGGGCACTCTTTGCGTCTGGAGGAAAAAAAGTTTAACCTTTTGCACACAGAAAGGATTCTTCAGTTAGAGCTGTGAAAATGTGTAATAGATTAGGTCAACATTATAGAACAAGTCTAGTGACCTACTACTACTAGCTTTACCATGGCCTAGATATATAAGAATCTTCATACATTTCTATATGTACGTACTGGTTTGCCTGCAAATATTATTTTATCGGTTTTGAAGTAATATAAGCTTTTGGTAAAAGCATCACAATTTCTCTTAACTTTTTATACGATATTCACCTTTTCCAGCAAGAAATTATAGCTTTCCCTTCTTCAGCATTAGGGTCCATGCATATTCGCTTGGAATTCACTGTTACTCTGAAAAATGTTGGAAAAAACAGCACAGGATCATTTTATTTTATCAAAGGTGAACACCAGGAAAATGTTTTGGAGATTCTCACTCATTCATCAATGTATCTAGATCACCAAGTTTACAAGGATGAAAGTGATTGTATTTTGTCAGTGAAGCTACCTAGGGAAGTCTGCCAAAAAAACGTGTAGAGCAGCCATTATGAATGTGTTGAGGTTTCCCAATGATGAGGATAAAACTATTATTACTATCCTATTAAACATTTTTTTTTACATTTACTGAAGGCATATTACTTATCTTCTCCTAATTGGGACACCTGTTGCCACTTCGCATGAGGCAGCAAAATCAACTTTGTCCTTTTTTTTGCACTGAGTAAAGCTGAACTCACAAACTTTAATGTATGTGGCATAATGCTGGTTTCTTTATGGGGGATAGTAATGGCAAATCAGAAGAAAGCCATATGCTATACTTTATAGAAGGAAAGGAGGTTTCACAGAAACCGCTGCCTCATGTCAAAAAAGTTCCACTGGTGCTAAGTATGGATGAGCTTTGAACTCTAGCTGTTAAACATCCATCGACTGGGCCAACTAAATCTCCAGATTTGGCCTGTTCGCCCACCCATATCTCTAACTGTTGCAGCCAGAAATTATTTATTTAGTGTCAGTATCAATACTGCCACTAAATGCCAGCTTCCTGGCCCACCTACTGGCTTTTTTCACATAGCAAACAAGCCAGAATGTATCCCGGGTTACTTTATTGACCAAATATAGTAGAGGTGCACCAAAATGGAATTTGCAGACTGGAACCGAAATCTAAAAAATTTGTCAGGCTGAAACCGAAATCACATTTTTTTTCTACTCTTTAAAAAAAAAAATATTTTTTTTTGTTTGTTTAACATTACGGTCAGGGGCTCTGGGAAAATACCAGGGATCTAAGCATAACCCTGATATTTCCCTTTTTGAAATAAAAAAAGAGATTGAGGACTCTGTCATCAATTTTTGTTTTCCTGCAGCCCCTGTTATGAATGAACAGGAAGCCTCTATACTGAGTGTTCCTGTCCATTCATAAATTGTGGATATAGTACGAGTTACTTTGTCCACACTCATGAATGAACAAGAAATGATGTAGAGTTCTTACTGTTCATATATAATTGGGGTCACAGTATAGTGTGTCTAATTATTTACAAGCACTCAGCGACCAGCTGATCGCTGAGCACTTGTACTCCACTCTCAATCCTGACTCGCTGCCACAGGAGGCTGAGTGGGCGGGGGGGGAGCAGACCAACAGCCGGCTCCATCTCCTGTGACAGCTGTCTCCTCCCTGCACCGTTCTCTGTCCTGATCTGCCTGTCACAGGAGGCAGAGCGGGGCAGTGCTGGAGGAGAGCTCGGCCTCCTCTGACAGCGCTCTCCTCCCTGCCCTGCTCAGCCTCCTGACAGTTCCTTTCCTCCCCACTGGCCGTTGCCCTGTGTCATAGGGGACAGAGAGCAGCGCCCAGCTGGGAGGAGAGAAACTAAGGATGCAAAACATTTTTGGCCTAAAAATGTTACTTTTGGCATTTTTGCCCAAAGTTCCATTTTCGTCTGATATGCTTCGGTGTCTGAAATTTCGGTGCATCCCTAAAATAAAGTCATGACTTACTGGACTGAGAGCTATCATTTGCAGCAAGTATATGATCAGATAAAAGGCAATTTTTTAATAAAGGACTTTGTCAAAGTGTGGGTGTATCATACATTTTGGGAATGAGTAACAATTACTCATTCATGTGGGGGGCCTAAATGGGTTTTTTACATGCGATACGACTCCCACATCCACCAGACCGGACATGGATGTGAGATCTAGCACAGATTTTTGGGGGACCCCATGTTTTTCATAATATAGAGATGTATAGTATCTGCAGTGCCTAAAAAGTATTCACCCCCTTAGAAGTGTTCTTATATTGAATCCGTGCATGTTTGTTTATACTCTAATTTGAAAGTGAGAACAGATCTCTGTAAAGTTATATCATATTAATCACTATTAAAAAAGTATGTACTAGAGTTATTTTAGCACCAATTACAGAATTGAGTTTGTGTTGACAGGTCTCCATCAGATTTAGGGGAGATTTCCCTACTCTTCTGCGCAAAATTACTCCAATTCTTGCAACTCCAAGGTTGCAAAGGCATCATGAATTATTAGCCTTTCCAAGTCTAGCCACAAGTTCTCTATTGGGTGGAGATCTAGATTTTTACTTGGCTGTTATAGAACATTAACACTGTTGTTTTTAATTAATTCTTCTGTAGTTTAGGCTTTATGCTTGGGGTCAGTGCCTTTCTAGTAGACATTGAGAAGATGATTTAACTGTATTCCAATGAATATTTTGTGACTAGGAAATGTTCTTGTATCCATCCCCTGACTTGTGCTTCCTTCATGGTTTACATTATGCCATGATTCTAACTCACAGAAGTTGGACTTTAGAGATACATGTGTATCTTTACTATAATCACTTTAAATTCCTTGACTACACACAGGGGAACTCCATATATTCATCTGACCATGGCAAATAATAATTTGGCGGAAGTGGTGATTTTGGGGCTTCATTGTAATGGAAATCACTTTGCAGAGATGTTTTTGCTTTTACATTACAGGGCACATTTCTGTTGGTCAATGTTAATAAAATAAAATAAATCCATTGTGATTCGATGTTCTATTACTATAGGTTGTGAATTTTTCCAAGGGGCTGAGAACATTTTATGTGCACTGTATTGCAACATTTGTAATCAGATTTCACCGTTGGTTTTGTGGTGGTGGACTTTGGACATTGCTTCATGTTTATCAAAAAGTTTTACAGTGCCCTTAAACAAATGCTTGATCCGCTGTAAACAATATATTGACTCACATAATTTCTAACTTGTCACAAGATGATGTTTGTGTTGAAACCTCAATGTTCTGAAATTTCCTTGGGTGAATACATTTCATAAATTTTATACATTCACATCTTGTAGATACATCTGGTAAAGACAAAAGAGTAAATATATTAAATTGAATAAATATTTTAGGTAAAAATCAGTAATACTTTTTGTTTTACAGAATCTTTTTTTCTACAAAAAGTTTATTAAAGATCAGGGAATAATAAAATTCCTGTGCACTAGTAATTAATCTAGTCAACTCCTGCAATGTGGCTTGCAGGGTTTATATCTGTAAATTTATTTTTCTGTGTTTTTATATATTTTTTTCTTTCAATAGTGAAACAAAAACGTAACCTGGGTACTTTAAATGATATCATATGCACTTGCAAGAAAATACAGTTCAGTGGCCCCTATGTGTCTAGCAGGGGTTGTATGGACAGCTTCACAGTCCATTAAGGTTAAGGGTTTTTTCTTTGGATGCTACCAGCCAATGCTTTGCAAAACTCACAGCCTCCAAATGTTTCTCGTAGCCAGCAAACAGTCTTTCTGTTCTTTGACTTCTAAGACTTTGCCCACTACCCTTAAATGTGAAATCAACTTTTTTGGTTTTGTGATTTGAAGTGATGACATGTTAACACTCTACTCTTATTCTTGTTTTACGTTTTTTCCACTTATCCTAAAAGCAAAAACATTCTTAGATTATCTTTTCATGCGTATTCTATGTGCAGTCTATGTGCAGTCTGTGAAGGGGAGATGGTTATAATAGTCTGTTTTAACTGTAGTAGCTCATGGAGAAGGCTTTCCAAATGCTTCTACTTGCCACATTAAGTTTTTTTTTTTTTTGTAAATTTGTACTGCAAAAATTACTTTCCACTGGAAAAAAAAAATCAGCAAAAATACAAATTTACTAGGGGTGCTCATACATTTGTCTATTTTGTATAATGACAGGGCACACAAGCCTTTTTCTGTATGTGCAGTTTAAATGCGTGTATGATTTGAAGCCTGCAAGGTTATTGACAAATGGCTTGTTTACAAAGAATTTCAAAGGTAACATAAAACAGATGTATGATTGCATGCATGGTTTCCTAGTACAACCGTTTCAGAGTCCGCAGACCATCTGAGAGCCCACACACAGCCTGCGCAGAGCCTGCAGTCCATCTGGGAGCCAGCGCAGTGCCCACAGCTCACCTCGTCCATCTGGGAGCCTGCATAGCCCCCCTGAGAGCCTGTGCAGCCCAGGTTTTTTTTCTTAGATGTGCTAGTGGATAGATAAGGGGCAGTTTGTTTTAGTGAATAGATAGTGCAGTTAGTATTAGTAAAAAGGGAGTGCGGTTAGTGAAAGGTGAGTGCAGGCAGTGTTAGTGTAGGGTCCTACTCAACATATTTTTGGGCCAAAATATATTTTGTTACTGTTAAATATTGAATGCACTGATGACTTGGAACACACTTTTCAATTTGATATATTCAGTTGTAAGAGTGTTCAAATAAAAGTGGGAGCACTGAAGGACCTGGTTGAACAGCCCCTGGACGGACTTGGTGGGAGGGTTAGTGGGTGGACTCAGTGCAACAGCCAGTGGACAGGCCTATGGTGTGTTGGTGGGGCTGGGGGCCCATGACTAAATCTGAGGCCCCCCTGTCTCAGC